CACACACACACACACACACACACACACACACACACACGTAACCACACAGACACACACAGACATGCGCGCGCGTACACATCTACGCACATGCATGCATGTACACACGCACAATTAATGTACAAGCACCCACACGTATACACGCACACACGCTGCACACGCTGCACACGCACGCACACATGGACGCACGCACGGACACACACACGGCTGTCTTGTTTCAACACTGGCACAATAAAATATTCACAATCAAAGCACAGCAATAGTATCTGAGGATCTGATAAAAGCACATTCACACAATGCCATTCATAGGCAGGCATCACAATATCAGCATGATATAATTAAATGAACTGTGAGGACGTTATTCATGATTAACACGGCAACATGTATTTCACAAAATTTTTGAGGACGTGATGATATGATGAATCCGACAACACAGAAACTGTGCATTTAATTAGAATCAGAATTTAAGATATGAGATCTGTGAATTAGAACTGAGGCTGCAACGGTACAAAAACACATCGACACAAACGTTGACGAGAAAGCATGACATAGATGGGTCTGCTGTGTTTCCTTCTTTCCCTTCATTCGTAGCACCATGCACATCTTCTACACATACCAGGAAAACACACAACAGGTCAAAATGTTTGCAGTGTCCTTTCCCTCCGACCCTCAGAAACTAAACCGACACTAGTTCGAACTAAAATTCCACTCGTCTACATTGCTTTGCTACATTATAAACCTACCACCACCAAGGGGAGATTCTTTGTGAATACATCACCAACATATGGACAGAAAAAGAGCCAATAGACAAATGGGGACATAGGAAGAACGACGGTGACAAGAGGAGGGACCGAGAAGATAACAGAGAAAGTAGATGCACGAGCGTATATACGGTGGACCCCCGAGATACGAACAGCTCGACATACGAATTTTCTAGATACGAACGACCTCCCGTTAAACGTAATGTATTCGACAAATGAATAAAATTCAACATACAAACGTCTACGAATCAGCCAATCAGGGCATAGGCCTAGCGCACGCTCTCTCGGTGAGTCTGTTTAAGTGCCTGACTCATTGAATGTGGTTGTGCTCTCATGATTGCGCTTGCTGTACGTTAATTCTGTACGTCCTATATAGGGTTCGAGATGCAAACAAATCTGTAGAACGTATTAAATTCGTATATCGGGGGTCCACTGTATATGACTCTACACACGCTCTCCCTCCCTCCCCCTCACACACGCTCTTCCTCCCTCCCCCTCACACACTCTCTCCCTCCCTCCCCCTCACTCTCTCTCTCTCTCTCTCACACACTCTCCTGCACGGACGCACCGTTTGGTCCCCGACTCCTCCGCTGTTCTTCCTCTCCAGCGGCAGCTTGCACGTGAACTCCTTCGAGAGCCGCTTCTCCTTCGACTCCTTCAGCGACGACTTGTTGTCGCGCGCAAAGAACTTTGGCTTCGGCGGCGGCGACATTCGCGACTTTTTCAGGCTGTCGGACTTCTTGACGGACGACTCGCCGCTACCGGAGCCGCTGACGTCGCCGCGCTCCGCAATTCTGCTGTCGGCAGGCGATCCAACCAGCTGACTGTCCGAGCCCTCGTGGTCGTCGGTCAACATCTCCTATTCGCGGTGGGAGATGGAAAGAGAGATGTTAGAGACGTGAGACGTGCGTGAAACACGTAAGAGTCTACGCGTGCGTGCACATCATACACCTGTGTGCGTGCGTGCGTGCGTGCATAGGTGTAGACATACGTGTGTGTGCGCGTGTGTATGCGTTCGTGCATGCATGCGTGCATAGGTGTCGACATACATGTGTGCGTGCGTGCGTGCATGCGTGCGTGCGTGCGTGCGTGCGTGCGTGCGTGCATGCGTTCGTGCATGCATGCGTGCGTGCATAGGTGTAGACATACGTGTGTGTGTGCGTGTGTGTGTGTGTGTGTGTGTGTGTGTGCGTTCGTGCATGCGCGCGCATAGGTGTGGACACAGGTGTGTGCGTGCATAGGTCTAGACATACGCGTGGGCGCGCCAGGGAATGCGAAATCTCTTTTTTCTCCGTCGGACAATCGGTCAGGCACAGGGCCCACTTGTTGCGGTTCCACTGAATTTTTGTACATGCAGCGACTGGTAATGAATATCGAGTTACCAGGTGAGAAGAAAATAGGGTTAGACAGCTGAACCTGTGCAAAAAATGCATTGAGTTCAACACATCTGACGAATTTCACGTTCTCTGGTGTGCATACATATATGAGTATATATGTGTGGCATAGATGTATGCGCATATATGTATGTGCAGATTTATATTTATTTATTTATTTATAAACACGTGTGCATAATGGTCTGTGCATACACGTGTGCACATGATAATATGTCAGTGTGTACATGTTATCCCACGTAAACGAGCCCTCGTTAGAAACGGCTAAATCCAATTTGCTTGCTAATGCACGGGTTATATTAATCACGCAACCGGGTTCTAAGAGGGTCAATGGCTCTAGCGGTATTTTAGTTAAATAATTAGAATTTGCCTCAACGTAGCTGCAGTCGTCTGACAATGTGCCGATGTGCTCGGGCAAATCCACTGCTACTACGATAAAACCTCCCCGTTTACGCGCCGTCGTTATACGGTAGCATGAAATGAGGATATAGACATCCTTAGCCGTATAGAACGCGTCAATGATTATGACACATATGAACGCGGTGCTGCACGGCGAATGGCATTTACCTGGTTGTCGGAGTCACCCTTGCGTGAGCTGTCATCGCTGACGTGCTGACTGTAGCGCTGTCTCATCTCGGGGATGGTCAGGATGTCGTGCGAGCTCGATCGTGCCGAGAAGAATGGTCTGCAAGGCAGAGGTCATGCGATCACCGCGCAGCCGATCACGCGTTCTCATTAAGAATATTACATTTCCGCTTAGATTCGCCTGACTAATGAGCTGGAAGATGGGGAACGGCCGAGTGGTAGTGGATGATACCCCACAAGTTTCGCAGTCTGCCTGTGGCTATAGCAATGATGTACAACTTGGCGTTGTGTTACAGGGAGCGAATCTAATAGCAATACGCTGGCAGCCATATACGGAAAGTAACGAGACGCCAGTGTAATTCAGCCCGCACTCGACGACAATTGTTATTTGCGCGGCGATAATGCTTTCTAGCACGACGGGTTTCATACGCAGCGATTACACGGGGCTTCAGGTTATTAACTGTGACGGGGTCTCGTCCTATCGGGCAAACATCCATGCACCCTCACATATTAACCAGTACGCGAACGGGACACAAAATACAGCCATTTTTCCCATGCGAGTTCCGAAATACAGCCAATCAGCGCACTCCATTCACTCGACTTCCTCGAAGCAACAATGAAAAATGAAACAAATGTTCCCTTATCCCTAACCCTAACCCTAATCCAATCCTAACACTAACTTTAAACCGACTCACACGCTTATATAGGCGTGGAATAGTACCAAATTACACTATCTATGGTGTATCCGGAACTCGCGTGGGGAAAATAATTCCGCGAACGGGACAGGCACGCTACCAACAGTACGCAGCGTTGATGGTAAACCATTAAATGTGAGTAAATAGAAATCCTTTGTGCGCTGCCCTCACAGCACAGCGCCCGTCTCTCTGTAGAAATCACTGACCGGACTGCTGTAGCTTAGCAACAGAGAGACGCGAGTCAATCAGTAGTCAACACATACACCTCGCAGTACACACGCAATAAACCGCACAGGCGAACATGGAAATGAATAGCTTTCAAGACATGCAATTACATCCGTTGATGAGAAAGTAAGGAAATATTCGAGACGCCCACAAGCATTCACTGCGAACGAGCGAGCGCATACACGCCTGCCAGACCACACCACACTGAAGACTAGGTGCACGTGCGTGACATAGTAGAGACTAGGTTTAGGTGCGTGACATAGTGGAGACTAGGTTTAGGTGCGTGACATAGTGGAGACTAGGTTTAGGTGCGTGACATAGTGGAGAC